TTTCAAAGACTCGGTACTAAAAATAAGTGTGACATATCACACACACACACACACACACACACACACACACACACACACACACACACGCCCGCACGTGCACACACAAGCACGGACTGAGGAATGTATCTCAATGGTAGAATGCTTGTCTGATATTGGTGACGTCTGGTACTCTAGTTTGCTCCCTGTCACTGTGATAAAGTGTTCTGACTAACAGCAACTTGGGGAGGAAAGGGTTTATTTCCCCTTCCACTTCTGGGTACCAGCCCATCATCTACGGAAGCCTGAGCAGGAACCTCAAGACAGGAACTGAAGCAGAGACAGCAGGAGGATGCTGCTTACTGGCTGGTACCCAGGCTCCCTCAGCCACTCTTCTTACACAGCACAGGTTCAATCTGCCTAGGGATGAGACTGCCCGAGAAAATGTCCCCACAAACATGCCCACAGACCAAGCTGATGACGGTAATTCCTCAACAGGCATTCTCTCTTTCTAGGTGACACTAGTTTCTGTCAAGGTAACAAAACTAACCGCCGCCACACCTGGGTTTCATTCCTAGCACCCTCCGCACCCGCCACCAGATCCTATCTGCTGCTAAAGATGATTGCATGTATGACTTCTTTAAACAACACATGCTCCTATAAAACAAAACCCAACTTCTTCAACAAACAAATCACAAAGAAAGTACAAGGCAGAGTGGGGACCATGGAGCCAGAGAGATCTGGTCACCTTCCCCTACTGTCCTCTCTTGTCCCCAACCCTTCTGTGGAGCCCTTCCTCCTTCTAACAAGTTCCCCCCATGCCCCTCACCCACCCACCCCAGCCACCCCAGCCACCCGCCCCCACCCCACCCACCCACTACCACCCACCCCTACCCCTACCCCCAACCCCACTGCCACCGCCACCGCCTTAGTGCCTGTGTGCCCCGCCATATTGGGTCAGGTTGCTTTGGTGCAGATTACTTCCCTGAGAAGGGCAGTACCAGTGGCTTCCTCACCGAGGCACACACCGCTGTCAGTAGGATCTGAGAGACATTGACAGTCACAGTCTCCGGGCTTCTTCTACATTCCAAAGTGATCAACACGGACCAAAAGATGACACCTGGCTGGGCAGTGGTGGCACACGCCTTTAATCCCAGCACTGGGGAGGCAGAGGCAGGCAGATCTCTGAGTTCGAGGCCAGCCTGGTTTACAAAGCTTCCAGGACAGCCAGGGTGGTTACACAGAGAAACCCTGCTTGGGGGTGGGGTGTGTGTGTGTGTGTGTGTGTGTGTGTGTGTGTGTGTGTGTGTGTAGAGGTGAGGGGGTGAGAAGATAACACCTGATGCTGCTAGGGGATTCTTCTTGAATGGTGATGGAGTTTAGATTATAAAAGAAGGGTCTTGCTGGGCATGGTGGTGCACACCTTTAATCCTAGCACCCTAGGAGGCAGAGACAGGCAGATTTCTGTGAGTTCAAGGTCAATCTGGTCTATAGAGTGAGTTCCAGGCTAGCCAGGGCTAATAGTGTGACCCTGTCTTTTTTTTGTTTGTTTGTTTTTTGTTTTTCGAGACAGTGTTTTTCTGTGTAGCTTTGTGCCTTTCCTGGAACTCACTCTGTAGCCCAGGCTGGCCTCAAACTCACAGAGATCCATCCACCTGGCTCTGCCTCCAGAGTGCTGGGATTAAAGGCGTGTGCCACCACTGCCCAACCGACCCTGTCTTTTAAATAAATAAATATGTATTTCTTGAGGCAAACACCCAAATATTTAGAGCTGGTCTACAGGACATGAGATTTGCCTTGAGTCAGTATGGGAGCTAGAGGTGTTGGATCTCAGCTGCTGAGTTACTCAGGGACTGGTTGGATACTATTCTGTACTTTTGTATGTGCTTGAAATTTTCTATGATAAAAAAAAATTTTTAAATAAGAAATTGAGTCACCTCTTACTAAGGCCAACTGGCAACTTGGAAGTGATTTGAGTCAGACAAGAAGAGGAGGCGGCAATGAATTACCGTTCTTTGTTTAGGAAAAGATCAAAAGCCTTGTCATTATCGTGATGTCAGACAAACTAGACTGCAAGGCAAAAGCAGTGTTAGAATAGATGCTGGGAGAAAACTCCAGGAAGGTGTAACAAGTCTAAACTCTTACACACTTCCTAACATTTGCTTAAACTACATAAAGCATGGGGATGAGGAGATGGCGTAGGGCTTGAGAGCTCAACTGTTTGTAGGGGATTAGAGTTCCGTTTCCAGCACTCACTTTGGACAGCTCACAGCGGCCTTTAACTACAGTTCCAGGGGATCTCACGCCCCCTTTTGGCCTTTAAGGGAACTGCACACACATAATTAAAAATAAAATCAGGCCAGGCAGTGGTGGTTCATGCCTTTAATCCCAGCGCTCTGGAGGAAGAGGCAGGAGGATCTCTGTGAGTTCGAGGCCAGCCTGGTCTACAAAGCGAGTTCCAGGACAGGTACCAAAAACTACACAGAGAAACCCTGTCTCAAAAAACAAAAAAATAAATAATTAATAATAATAATAAATAAAATAAAATAAAATCTGTTTTTAAATGTATATATATGACAAAGCAAGGAGACATGAACAAACCCAACATAATTACAGATTTTCATTACAGCCTTTCAGTGACTGACAGATGAAAAATAAGGAAAAAAAATCACTAAGGATAGAGAAGACATCAACAAACCAGAAACTCAATATCATTAGTAATCAGGGAAATGCAAATCAGAGCCACAATGAGTTGGAACCTTACTCCCACTAGCTTGGCAGAAATTATGAAGTTGAGGAGTGCCAGATTTGATGAGGATGTAGAGTTGTGGGGACGCTCATCCACTCTGGGTGGGAGTATAAGCTGTTTTACCCTCCTTGGAAAATAGTTCAGTCTTGCCTAATAAAGTTGAACATGTTGCACGAATGATAATTTAGCAATTTTCATCTCCAGCTTATTATTTAGGGAAATATATTATGTGGCCCATCTGTAAGGAAAAGCCAAAGGAGGAGAGAAGATGTACATATATAGAAGGGCTCCAGGGTGTGGTCCTAAGATGTGATTTTTCAGGAGCTATGAGTACATAGGTGTGTATCTTTACTGTTTTCCTTTTTATTTTAATTTTTGTTTGTTTGTTTGCTTATTTGTTTTGTTTTTTGAGACAGCGTTTCTCTGTGTAGTCTTGGCTGTCCTGGAACTCTCTCTGTAGACCAGGCTGGCCTCAAACTCACAGAGATCTGCCTGCCTCTGCCTCCTGAGTGCTGAGATTAAAGGTGTGTGCTATCACCAACCACCACCACCTAGCTTAGATTTTTTTTTTATTGTATTGTTTATGGATATGGGAGTGAGTAATGTGCACATGAGTGCAGTTCCCACAGAGGCCAGTAGAGGGCATCAGATTCCCCTGGGGCTGGAATTCCAGCCGGTTGTGAGCCACCTGACATGGGTTGTAGGAACTGAACCTGGGTCCTCTGAAAGAGACATGTGCTCTTAAGCGCTGAGCGGTCTCTCCAGTCCCTGTGTTGTTTTTAAGTATTTTTTGCATGTATATGTTCTAATAAAATGCTATGTTTACATATTTGCATGCATCACATCTGTATATAAATGCAAATGGGGTGTGGCAGGGGACCCAAGATTGTGCAGTGTTTCATCCTAGAGAGTGCGGCTGGGGGAGAAACGGGGAAGAGAGGGGAGTCTATTTTTCCCCCCAGCTATTTCAGGGTTGGAATATTTTTACTTAAGTGTGGATGACTTGGTAATTTTAGACCTAATTAAATCAAGTAGAGCAAAACAAATCTAAATGACTTTGACTTGGGGCTGAGAATGCAGCTCAGTGGTTGAGTGCTTGCACAAGGCCTTAGGTTCGATCCCCAGCACTCCAAACCAAAAGAGTAAAATGGGGCACTAGGAGATGGCTCAGCCAGTAAAGACCCTGCCAGGCAAGCAAAGGACCTGAGTTCAGATCCTAGAGCACATGTAAAAACCCGGGCGAGCCTCTAACCCCAAAGCTGGGCGCGGAATGGAAGCAGTTAAATCCTTGAAGCTTGGACTGAGTGAGAGACCCTATTTCAACAAAAACATCAAAGTTCAAGCAGGAGAGTGATTGAGGAAAAGCAACTGGTGTTACACACACACACACACACACACACACACACACACACTGCTCACCCCACACATATTAATAATAATAATAATAATAATAATAATAATAATAATAATAATAATATAATAAAGATGGAGCTAGGCATGGTAGCCCATGCCTTTAATCTCAGCACTTGGGAGACAGAGGCAGGTGGATCTCTGTGAGTTCAAGGCCAGCCTGGTCTACAGTGTGAGTTCCAGGACAGCCGGTGTTATGTAGAGAAACCCTGTCTCAAAAAAAACTAACTAACTAACTAAATAAATAAATAAAAGCTGGCTCAGCAGACGAAAGCTTGTGTGTGTGTGTGTGTGTGTGTGTGTGTGTGTGTGTGTGTGTGTGTGTGTTCCCAAGCCTGACAACCTGAGTTTGATCCCCGGGACCCACACGATTAAAGGAAAGAGCTGTTCCTCCCCACCAAGTCTTCTGACTTCTGACCCCCCCCCCCACTACCATACACTGTGACACATGCCTGCTCCCCTCAAAAATAAAGAAGGGCATAAAAAAAGAAGAGCAGCATGCAGAGGTGGTGCCAGAGCAGCCCCCTTCCTAGAGACGGGTCAGGTGACCTCACCAAGCCCAGTTTCCAAATCTTCAAAAATGAGTCTAATGTGGTCTGGTCTCCTTGGTCCCTGACGGCCTAGGTGGACAATGTGGGTACACAGAGAAAGGAGGGAAGAGCTTTTGGGCAGCTCAGACACTGGGGGTAGGGGAGGCTTCAGAGGAAGTGGCTCCTGTGCTGAGCCTTAGGGGACCAGGAGAACATGGGACGGAGATGACATGTTTGGGTGGGATACAGAGGGTAAGGGGAGTTTGTCCGGGTCAGCCAGGTCTCGGGGAGGAGAGAGAGCAGGAAAGTGTTCCTTGGAGTGGGAGAAGCAAGGATAAAGGAGAATACAGGCTTTATTTGGAACTAGGGGAGTCATGCAAATATATGCAAAAATCATGCAAATGAGCCTGGCTGAGTGGCCGGCAGGAAGAGGACCCAGCTGGTGATTTTGTTCCTCAAGTGTAGTCCAGGGCCACCTGTGACAGCATCACCTGGAGAGCTCATCCTGGTTGCCTGCCACCCCCAGACCTGCTGGGGCTGCAGCCCGTGTTTAGGGAGCTCACCAGGTGAGTGTTTATTTCTGCATCCATTTATTAAACATGCACATGGAAATTCATTATAATTATAACACATTAGGATCTACGCACATTACAATATATAATATAAACATTCAAACAGAAAAGTAAGCCTTCCTCCCCTGCATTCTCCTCCCCCGTCCCCAGAGGCAACAACCAGTACCGGTTCCAGAAGGTGTGTCCTTCTGGAAGCTTCTCTGCAGGCTCCCACGTAATCCAGCCTCAGGTCTTTCAAATCCACAGCTTCTGGGGAGCCTCCGCATGATGCCTCTAGGCCACTCAGAAGCCAAACTGCTACTCCTTTGCGTCTTTGACCATTCACTCCGAATTCCCCAGAGGTTTGCCGAAGGCCACACGTTGGCTGAACACAAGGGGAAGCTGAAATATTGTCCCCAGGGAGTCCTGCTCAAGGCGGAGCCAAGTGTGTGCAGGCAGTACCGTCTAATGGTTATAACCCTGCAGCCCCGGTGCCTGGGCTCGGCAGGACTCTCACTCCATCTCAGGTGATGTGGTGGTTTGAAGGAGACGTGCCCCATCATCTCCAGCATCTGATACTTGGTCCCCGGTTGGCGGTGTTGTTGGTGGAGGTTTAGAGGTGTGGCCATGTCCGAGGAAGTGTGCCACTCTCCGGCTTTCAGAGTTTAAGGACATCTGCCGTTCCCAGTTTACTCTCTGCTTGTCCTTGCGGTTCAAGATGTGAGCTCTTGAGGCGGGCTGTGGTGCACACCTTTAATCCCAACATTCCTAGAGGCAATGGGAGTTCGAAGCCAGCCTGGTCTACATAGAGAATTCCAGGACAGCCAGGGTTATATACAGAGAGACTCTTTCTTTAAAAAAAAAAAAAAAAAAAAAAAGATTTTAACCCTGTAATCCAGGATTAGGAGTGTGGCTCAGCATTGCCTAGCATGCAAAAGGTCTCAGCACAGCATAAACAAACCTAGATAGAACCCTCCCAATCTCTCTAGAGATAGCTTTTTGTTCATTTGTTTTGAGACAGGATTTCTCTGTGTAGCCCTGGCTGGCCTGGCACTTCCTTTGTAGACCAGGCTGACCTCGAACTCACAGAGATCCACCTGCCTCTGCCTCCTGAGTGCTGGGACCAAAGGCATGTGTCGTCACCACCACATGGATGAAAAGGAATTTCCTATCATTTTAGAACTGAGCCTCCAAGAGGCTAGGCAACTCCAAAACGATGAAGTTGTCTCTGTGGGTGCTCTGGATCCGCCTTGGGCTCTCCTTGGGCTCCTGCCTTAGAGCCCTGGCCCCCAGCAGCAATGCTGCAGGGCAGAGGTTGGGGTGGTGAAGCTCATCAGTCTTCATCACTGGTGGCCTGCCTGGCTTGCTCTCCCCTAGATGGCTGGGGTTGGGGCTTCGAGGACTCCAGTCCCTGAGAGCAGCTGTACCTCCCACCCCTCTTCCCCATAGTCCCACAGTCCCTCTTAGAGTCACCTTTTCCTGGTCCCATTGCTAGCCCCCAGGTGCTGCAGCTTCTTCCAGCAAGAGCCCTGGATACCCTCTGTCTTCACCGCTGCACGGGTTGGTTCAGTTCCAAGCATGCCAACTGTAAAAGGGGGACTGGAGGGGAGTAGGGGTAAATGACATCTCCATAATGGGTGCAGGCTCCCATGATTATCTCTGCTGAGATACCAAGGGATCACTTTGCACAAGTGCATATTATGATTCTGGAGGAGCAAGGTGCTGTCTGTCTTCAGGCCTTTCTACGGGGCGCCGCTCAGACAACTTCATTCTTACCACACTCATCCAGAATGGGCAAGTCTAGCTGCCACCTTCGTGGGCTGGGGCTTTTTCTTTCTGAAAAAACAGAGGAAACAATGGCTGTTTCTCCATCAAATAATGACTCAGAATATACCTGCCAAATTGAACTTGTGCACGCTCAGGCCACGACCGAATGGCATCTCACCCTGCCTGTACTTCCCTAGGTGACCACACGGGGGCAGCAGCTGAGCGCAGGCTGAGTGCTCCAGCCTGGGCTGGGCCATAAGGGGCACAGAGAACAGGGCCAATGGACATCTTGGCACTCAGATCTTTGAGTGGTCTCATTCCAAAAGCCTCAGTTTCCCCACGTATCAAATGAACTATGTTGTGTGGAAGGGCATTTTAGGTCTGTCAATCCCCGAGGATTTGGACCGGTATCCCTGCTCACAAAGTGGGATTCCACCCTCTCACAAAAGCCTGGCATGTCCAGAGGGAGAGGAGGAGCTTGTGGGCGGGAGCCCAGTTCTGGAAGGCCTCACAATGACAGGCTCAGGTCTGGGCCTAAGGAAAACCCAAAACTGAGTCCTGAAAGGGCCAGGGAGTCGCCACCTCTTACCTCTGACATGAGTTCAGGCTAGTGCTGACCCTGACTGACAGAGGTTGCTTCATGCCTCCCTCAAGGTCTGAGGACTTAGCACCCTTTGCTGGTCCTTGTCCATTGTCAGTCTACTCTCTACAGACCGCGGTGCTCACAGGAAGGGCTGCTCGGGGACTCTGGATTCATCTACCACCGCCCTTCACCACGGCCGAGGCCTCTGCTCTCTCTTCCCTTCCAACATCTCAGCCACCGCCTTCACCAGCGCCGCCGCCTGCCTCTCCCTTTGCTCTCAGGAGGGAAGAACAAAGCTAGGATGTAATTTGTAGGCCCTGTGACCCAGCGGACCCACAGCACAGCAGTCATCCAAGGCAGAGGACGATCCTGAGGTTCAGAGAGCCACAGAGGCCCGACCCTCCCTGTCTCTGGGCCTGTCTACATTGAGCTGTCACAGAAAAGGAAAGCAAGGGGAGATATGCACAGAGCCCTGACCTGAAGGACTTGCCTCTCTGGGTATTTCAGCTCCACCCACTGAGGGGCGTGGCCATCTTGCATCCTCTTTATAGTTAGTTGAGGCTTAGCCACCACCTAGGAAGACTGAGCCTGCCTCAGCTTAGCTTTGGATATCTCCTTGCGCAGGGGCCTACAAGTAGCTTCCTTATTAGCCCCTGAGCCCAGAGGATGTCGAGGAGAGTGAGTTTATCAAAGGTGACCTAGAGAGCACACTGTTCCATGCCTCAGTTTCCCTAGCCCTCCCCAGTGGCCCAGGTAGCATGTGATGGTTACAGAGCTGGGGCTGCAGGGCAGGCTGTCTGTGAGCAACGTCCTCCGCTGTGTGACCAAGCCAAGGCTGTGAAGGCCCTTCAGCCACAGGAACCTAGGGCTGGAAGTGGAGGGCGGGGGTGGGGGTGAGGCTGGGAGCATCCCAGGATTCCAGGGCCCCCAAGTTGAGAAGAGAAAAAGACAAGCAGGGACAACCAGGGTGTCTGGGGCGGGGAGGGGCAGAGATGAGCTGGGGCTTTTAAGGTGAGAACTGGAGACTTCCTCTCCCACCACCCCACATTCAACTCAGCTGGGCCCAGTCTTGTCAGAGAGTGAGAAAGACATGATGCTGGCCTCTGGAGGTCACCCTGGCCAAGAAGGGTGTCAGTCCCAGAGAAGGTGCCAGTCCCTGAGATTCCTCCTGCCCATTGTCATCACCAGCAGCAGTATCCATACCACTGTAGAACCACCACCATCATCACCTCCACCTCCATCATCATCACTCCACCATCATCATCACCTCCACCACCATCATCATCACCACCTCCACCACCATCATCATCACCTCCACCACCACCATCATCATCACCACCTCCACCATCATCACCATCATCACCACCTCCACCATCATCATCATCATCACCTCCACCATCATCATCACCATCACCACCTCCACCATCATCATCATCATCACCTCCACCATCATCATCATCATCACCACCATCATCACCTCCACCACCATCATCACCTCCACCACCACCATCATCATCACCACCTCCATCATCATCATCATCACCACCTCCATCATCATCATCATCACCATCATCACCATCAACATCATCACCACCTCCACCATCATCATCATCACCACCTCCACCACCATCATCATCACCACCTCCATCATCATCACCACCCCCATCATCATCACCACCTTCATCATCATCATCATCACCACCTCCACCACCATCATCATCACCACCTCCACCACCATCATCATCACCACCTCCATCATCATCATCATCACCATCATCACCATCAACATCATCACCACCTCCACCACCATCATCATCACCACCTCCATCATCATCACCACCTCCATCATCATCACCACCACCATCATCATCACCACCTCCATCATCATCATCATCACCACCTCCACCACCATCACCACCTCCATCATCACCATCATCATCACCTCCACCACCATCATCATCACCTCCACCACCATCAACATCATCACCACCTCCACCACCATCATCATCACCACCTCCATCATCATCACCACCTCCATCATCATCACCACCACCATCATCATCACCACCTCCATCATCATCATCATCATCACCACCTCCATCATCATCACCACCTCCATCATCATCATCATCACCACCACCATCATCATCACCACCTCCACCATCACCATCACCACCTCCACCATCAACATCATCTTTGCACGTCATCGCCGTCATCATCATCTTCATCATCATCATCATCATCATCACTATTATGGACTTCAAAGCAGTGGGAAGAATCTCCAGCTGTGAGCAGAGAGCCCAGGGGATACAAGGCCGGTGAAGAGCTGAGGCTTCAGCCAGGGTTGGGGTCTGGACTGGAGGCCATCGAGGCCTAAAGCTTCTTGTTTGAATACCTGGTCTTATTCCCAGAGGAGGCACCTGTCCCAGAGTTTCAGAAGTGAACAGGTTAGAGTACTTGCTTAGCATATGGAAGGTTGGAACCCTAACACAGTCCGCTCCCTTCCCCCCCCCAAAAAAAAGCAAAGAGAGGGGGAGATTGTGTGTCTGGGTCCATTCGTGTGAGGGAGCTGGAGTAGGAAGTTCATAGAGGCAGAGAGAGGAAAGGTGAGTTGGGGGGCTGGGAGTGGCTAGGAGCTGGTGTTTTAAGGGTGCAGTTTTGGTTTAAGGTGATGGAAAGTTCCAGAGACAGATGGTGGTGATGTTTGCAGAGCAGCGTGAATGTGTATGACATCATTAGACCTTAGAAATAGCAAGCTTCACGTGGTGTCTGCGTCATTACTATTTTAATAGTTACTTTCATTTAAAAAACTAAAAAGAAGTAAACAGAAAGCTGTTTGTGGTGGCATACACCTATAAACTCAGCACTGAGGAGGTGGAGGCAGGAGGATCAGTAGTTCAAGGCCAACCTGGACTATATGAGACCCCCCCCCAAAAAAAAAGTTGAGCTATGTGTGGCAGCACACGCCTTTAATCACAGCACTGGGAGACAGAAGCAGGTAGATCTCCGTGAGTTCTAGGCTAACCCCATCTATTTGTCTACATAGAGAGTTCCATACACAGAGTGCTATACACAGTGAGATGCTGTGGAAAATACATACATAAGACAGCTGCCTAAAACTGTGGAAGGGGAGAGAGATTGTCTTCAAAAGGTAATGGCAGCCGGGCAGCAGTGGTGTTCGCCTTTAATCCCAGCACTCAGGAGGCAGAGCCAGGTGGATCTCTGTGAGTTCGAGGCCAGCCTGGACTACAGAGCGAGATCCAGGACAGGCGCAAAGCTACACAGAGAAACCCTGTCTCGAAAAACAAGGTAATGGCAAGGAATGTGGACACAGAGTAAGACAAGGTGAGGGAGTAGGGCTGCTGATACGGTGGGACACAGCCAACACTCCCACATCCTGCCCGGTCCTCCTGCCCAGCCCCCAGAGCCTCCACACTGAGTCACACGGAACAAGACCCTCCAGCACTGGACACAGGAAGCTGGGGAGTTGTCCCATCTGTCTCCCCACACAGCTGCCGTGCACACCTCTGGGGTGCGGTTGCCAGACCCTGAACTGGGGGTGCCCGCACCTGCCTCAAGAGGCCCAGCCAAGTGGTGGTGGTGCACACCTGTAATCCCAGCACTCAAGAGGCAGAGGCAGGAGGATCTCTGTGAGTTCGAGGCCAGCCTGGTCTAGAGAGTGAGTTCCAGCCAGGGCTACACAGAGAAACCCTGTCTCGAAAAACAAACAAAACAACGAAGAAGAAGAAGAAGAAGAAGAAGAAGAAGAAGAAGAAGAAGAAGAAGAAGAAGAAGAAGAAGAAGAAGAAGAAGAAGAAGAAGAAGAAGAAGAAGTGACCTACCCAGGATCCCCTGCTGCAGTCTAGACCCTGAAGTCTGCCTTGTCCGTACCTCCAGACCCTCTCTACTCTGGGAATGACCTCCAGCCTTCAAGGCTGACCTTGATTTTTTTCTAAGAGCCGCCCATGTGGACACAGGTGCTTTTCAGATCAAATTCCAGATACTACCCAGCATGCATTGAATGTACAGCCAGGATCAGGAGAGTACATCGTCCTCTGCTCAGGCTCTGTCCCACATTTACTGTGTGACCTGAGGTAAGTGTCTACCCTTCTCTGGGCTTTGGTTACAAGCAAGAAAATGTGACCTACCGAGCAGTCATTCCCACAGGATGTGCTTTGTCAGCGGGAGAGGGTGTCATCAGGATTCAAGGCCTGTGGGTGGGGCATACCAGGGGACAGAGCCAAGGTCATCATCCCTGCAGCAGTTGGCTGGGCACTCGCTCAGCATTTACTGAGCCTACCCTAGCTGCTGGAATGTCGGGGCGTGGCCAGAGCTATGACATCACCGCCTTCATCACTGGCCCATCATCCTTAAGAAGTTCAAAGAACTTCCTTCTCTAGAGAGAGCCTCCCCATGGGGATGCTCAGGCCGATCTCTGGATAGGGCAGGCTGCATGGACCTCAGACTTCTCCGGCCCCTCACAGGTGGGAGGGAGGACACCCCCCCCCCAGATGTCTGCACTGGGCCTTATCTCTGGGAAGTCCTCAAGGAGGGATTCTTACCCCCAACTTACAGGTGGGAAAACTGAGGCCTGGAGCCCTCATGGGGAAGACATGGCTTACTCCCAGCCTGCCCTGCAGCCTGTGCTTCCCTCCACCTCTCCAGACAAGAAGTAACCCAGGACAGGAGCACTAAGGGGTGGGCAGTTGATGAGGCCGAGGTCTGACTGTGAGAAGAGGTCCCTGCCGTTCCTGTACATGAAGTTCATAGTCTTATTTGGGGATTGCCACAGAACATTTTTGTGAAAGAACCAGGCCCTATTCAAGGTCTAAAGCCCAGCTATGTGACCCCAGAGTCTCAATTCTTCCCAATAGACTTGTAGAGAGTCCCCTTTCTGTTCCCAAGTCATTTATCAGTCTGTGCTGGATGGGTGGTACTGTTTCTGAGTCCACCCAAGGGCTGCTAACATCCTTCTCCCCCAAAATGGAGTCAAAAGCTGCCTGTAGGCCAGGCCTGGTGGTGCACACCTTTGGCCCCCAGTACTCAAGAGGCAGAGGCAGGTAGTTTTGTATGAGTTTGAGGCCAGCCTGGTCTATGGAGTATAAGAAGTAGTTTTGGCCGGGTGGTGGCGCACACCTTTAATCCCAGCACTCGGGAGGCAGAGGCAGGCGGATCTCTGTGAGTTCGAGGCCAGCCTGGGCTACAGAGTGAGTTCCAGGACAGGCACCAAAGCTACACAGAGAAACAAACAAACAAAAAGAAGTATTTTGTTTTGTTTTTCTACTGAAGGCATTAACCCAGAAAGGAGTCACATGTCCACAAGGAGTTAACCAGTCCTGTCAGATTGTGATGTTGAGCTCCTACCAAGGGGAGGAGACTGAATCGCCACCTAAGCCAGGGACGAAAGGCAGAAGCCATGTTGGTCCTGGTGTGTTGTTAGCACCACGTGAGCTCTGGAACCCAGGTTTTGCAAAATGAATTGCCTTGTGGAGAGCTTTCATTTTGTGTGTTCCTTTGTGTGACGCTGAGATAATTCGTGTGTGATACTGAGATAATTTGTTGTTCATGACATAGGCCATCCCAGCCGGGCGGTGGTGGCGCACGCTTTAATCCCAGCACTTGGGAAGAAGAGCCAGGTGGATCTCTGTGAGTTCGAGGCCAGCCTGGGCTACCAAGTGAGTTCCAGGAAAAGGCGCAAAGCTACACAGAGAAACCCTGTCTCGAAAAACAAAAAAACAAAACATAGGCCATCCTGCTATACATAGAGAGTTCTAGGCCAGCTTGGGAAGATCTGGTTGGGGGGAGCAAATCTTGAAAGGAGAAGCCATAATTCAATCAGAAAATCCATCCCAATGATTTAATTAAAAAACAACATCTGGGCAGTGGTGGCACACGCCTTTAATCCCATCACTGGGAGGCAGAGGCAGGTGGATCTCTGGGAGCCCTGAGGCCAGTCTGGTCTACAAAGTGAGTTCCAGGACAGGCTCCAAAAGCTACACAGAAAAGTCCTGTCTTGAAAACAAACAAACAAACAAAAACCCAACAACAACAAAAAAAACCACCCAGTTAATTACATTTCCTGGTAAATTTTGGCCTATTCAGAAAGCCAGAACATGCTGGCTTCATCTGGTGTAAACTCCAAATTGCTGGTGAGCCAGGGCCAGCCATTATAGCCCTGTGACACCCCGGCTGTTTAGCCCTTCAAAAATGCAGTGAATTAGGCAAACAATGGTCTACTTTGGGCAAATGACCAGAAAATCTAGACTGAACTTCTGATCCTCCTGCCCTGGTCTGGGGCCATGGGTCAGCTTCTGCTCCTGGTTCTGGTAGACTCCTGTGCTCCCCAGTAGGTAAGCTGGCTTGGCCACGTGGGTGGCGCCTGTTTTCTTCAGTCTAAATTTCTCTCCTTCGACCACGTGGGCCTGGGTATCTAATTCGGGTCATCAGGCTTAGTGATGAGGCGCCTTTGCCTGCTGAGCCATCTCACTGGCCCGTATCCTTATTCTTTAAACCAGTCCTCACCAGGGAGGCATTGTGGGGCTCCTACAGAGGGGCTGAGCTCAATGCTTGACACAAACTGACTCCTTGAATCTCTTGTGGCTGGCTTTACACTATGATAGTCCTTTGAAAACGAGGAAACGGAGGCCCGGAACACCAGGGGGCCTGCCTTTGATGAATCATTTGATAATTCCTGTCAGGAGAGTCTTTTTGCCTCAGCTCCTGCTTTGGTGAGTACAGATATGGAGGGGCCATCAGAGATCAAAGAGAGAAGGTAGCAAACATGGAAGTCTTCCCGGAGGAAGGAGCACCACAGCTGGGCTTCAAAGTAGGCATAGGAGTTTGCCATGCTGGAGTCAAGGCAGAGGAATTGGTCTGCCACCTGAGTAAGGCCTGAGGTGTGATTTGAGATGTGGCCAAGGACAACTTACCACGAATGTCTGCCCTTGGGCAAGAGAGACAGGGCCATGGCATGCTTGGGGTGGGTGGACATTGTTAAGGAGTGAGGAGTTCTCAGGGCCCTGGCCAGGTGTCAGAGGATGAGGGCAAAGTCTGGGTCTGCTCCAAGGTGTGGGTCCTGCCCTGAGAAGTGATGGGCACCAAATAGCCATGGACAGATAACTCCAGTGCTCAGGAGGCTAAGACAGAAGGACCATGAGTTCCAGCCTGTGCTCTTGTCTAAAACCAAACCCAAAAACATTGGAAATAGAGCTGGGAGGGTCAGTCAGTAGCTCTACCCCCAAAAGGGGAAAGGCCCCAGGCCAGAACCTCAGCCACAGCTCTGTGACCCCCAGCTGAAGCCCAGATCTCTGGGCCACTGATCCCAAAAGAACCCTGCTACTCCAGTTGGAAGCCCCCACCGTCAAAATCTCTGCAGGGGTCCAGAAGAAGAAAAAATGGGGACAAATCATGCTTTCCTTAATATGTAAAGAATCCCTAGAAATAAATAAGAAAAACAAGCCACCAATGTAATGTAGATATGACCAAGAATAGTAGCCAGTAGCTGGTCACAAGAAACATAAGAAAAACATAGACTGGGGCAGGGTGAGGTGGGCGGAGATGTGGGGGGAGCTTGGGGGGTGAAACCCAACCTTTCCATACATTCCGTTGTCATCTCTGGCAAAACATGGTAGCTTCCTGCAGAAGAGTCCAGGGGGCGGGGGGAGGGGGGAGCGGGGAGGAAGGGATATTGTTTGTTTATTTTAGAATTTAAAATGTATTACAATTATTTTATTTAGTTGTTTGGGTGCTTTGCCTGGATGTGTGTCTGCACACACGCATGCCGTGCCCATGGAGTTAGAAGAAGGTATCAGATCCCCAGGACTAGAGTTCCAGGTGGTTGGGAGCCATCATGTGGATGTTGGAAATTGAACCTGGGTTCTCTGTAAGAGTACCCAGTAGCAGAGTAAACTACTGAGCTATCTCTCCAGCCCCGAAAGGGCACTTTGTGGTGGTGGTGGTGGTGGTGTGTGTGTGAGTGGTGTGTGTGTGTGGTGTGTGTGGTATGTGTATAGTGTGTGTGTATGTGGTGTATGTGTGAGTGGTGTGTGTGCATGGTGTGTGTGGTGTGTGTATTTGTGTGGGGTGTGTGTGTGGTGAGTGGTGTGTGGGTGTGGTGTGTGTGTGAGTGGTGTGTGTGTGGTATGTGTATAGTGTGTGTGTGTGGTGTATGTGTGAGTGGTGTGTGTGCATGGTGTGTGTGGTGTGTATATTTGTGTGGTGTGTGTGTGTGTGAGTGGTGTGTGTGTGGTATGTGTGGTGAGTGTGTGTGGTGTGTGTGTGTGGTGTGTGTGGTATGTGTATAGTATGTGTGTATGTGGTGTATATGTGAGTGGTGTGTGTGTATGGTGTGTGTGGTGTGTGTATTTGTGTGGTGTGTGTGTATGCCTGTGAGTGGTGTGCGTGTGGTGTGTGTGGTATGTGTATAGTGTGTGTGTATGTGGTGTATATGTGAGTGGTGTGTGTGTATGGTGTGTGTATGGTGTGCATGTGGTGTGTATAGTGTGTGTGTGTGTGTGTGTGTGTGTGTGTGCGTGTACACTGAAAAGACAGACTAGGGAAACTTGAATGTGGAGTATGGAATGATGCGGCGTGCGGCTTGGTGTTCTGGTCTTAACAAAGCAGCTTTTTGTCAAAGATATTCCCTGAAGCATGTCTGTTTCCTTTCTTCATCTTTTTTTTTTTTGAGGTAGGATGACCCCAAACTCAATCCTCCTGCCTCAGCCCTCCAAGTGTTGAACTTAACTGCCACATCTAGTCAGAAAGCCTATGAGAGCTATTAAAGGACCTGGGAGCAGGTTCTCTTGGCCCCCACACCTGCCCCCAGGAACCTGTCCCATGCTACAGCTGTCGCCCCAGGGCCTCTAGAGGGGGGCAGGCTAGGACAGCCCAGCACAAGGTGGCTCCCTGAATCACGGACCACCTCCCAATTCCTTTAGCCCAGGTCTGAGACTGGTGGCCCTTCTGGCCTGGGTACTTCCCAGAAATCAGCTTAAGAGGCCTTGTTGGCCTTGGGACAGAGTAGCCCGCCCTTCTCTGACCCTTTGTAGTCAGGTGACTGGAGAAGCGGCTTCTCAGACCTTCATTTCCTCCTCCTAACATAGGAAGTCTAACTCTGTGCAAGGGCTGTTTGTGGAGAGGTACGTCCAGCTAAAGGGAACTTCTTAGGAGGTGAAGGCTGGGAGGTGAAGGCTTGGTGGGAGAGGGCTTGATTCGCATGTACAAAGCCCTCAGCACAAGAACAAAGGAAAAGAACGGGAAATAAGCCCATTAGATGTT